GTTTGTCTTGTCCGCCGGTTTGTCTTGTCGGTTTTGTTTTGAGTTCACATCTATGGTGTACTTTCCAAACCCCACATAGTTGTTGTATGTTTGATTCTGGTTTATAATACTAACTGATTGTTGTCAGCAACTGACTCGACACGTGTCCTCGTCATTAATTGTGGAAATGTTTACTTATAACATAAATCAGTTTCTTGTTTCTTTTGAGAACATGATAGAGAGTTTGAAGTGGATTAATAAAAAAAAGAATAAAACTTATTCAGAATTACTTTCAGGTTAATGAAGGATTGTCAGCGTGAGACATGGCATTTTTGAATTTATTAACGTTGTTTATTGGTGTATATAAGTGAGAATCCTTCAGAATTTTAAAAGCTCACATTTCTATTTTTAAGGACGGAATTGGTCTCAGCCATTATCGCATATGTGATAGAACATGTTAAGCGCGTTCCAAATAAAATTTTAACGTAGACATTGCTAAGATAGATGCGTAAAGAAGATTTTTTTTTTTTTTGAATTATCAGATATCCTCTCACAGTCTCATATAACAACTTTGGATCTTCGAAGGAATTATTAGTGAGCAGAAATTCGCCGGTGTATCTGTTATCGCTCGTTACTTCAGTGAAATATATAGGAGAACTCGTGTTTTTCTTTTGCATTTCCGGTTCTTCAAATCCTTATTACGCATCTAAATGAAATTATTAGTATCTGTTATCGCTCATTATTTCAGTGAATTATATGCTTTCTTTTTGCACTTCCGGTTCTTCAAATCCCTATTACGCATCTATCGTACCAATGATCTCTGTGTTAAAATTATATTTGGAACATGTTCAATCAGTTCTATCACATATGTGATAATGGCTGACATCAATGTTGTCCTAACTTTAAAGCACAATTATTTAAACTTTATGTGCTTTGTGGTTGAATAGGAAGCATGACCAGTCACCATCTATGTTCATTTACCTTTGGGGCCACGGTGGATAAGTGAGTAAGACGAGGGTTCGCTCCCGGTGGTGGCCGAGAAAATTTATCGAGATTTTCTGACCTGGTTTCCCTTGTCAGTGGCGCAGGACGAAGGGCCTCACAGGGACAGCTGTCTAGTCTTTCGGATGGGACGAAAAACCCTGGTCCCGTGTAAACATTGGCGTACACGTAAAAGATCCCCTAGTAGTTGGAATTCAATATAACAGTAGGTCTTAGCGCCGCTGCCCGTCTTCATTAGCCCAGTCGGGGCAGAACAGTAGGACGTTTAACCCCATTTTATTTCCTTTCATTTATTAACCTTGGGGGGGGGGGGCTGAATGGTTAGCGTGCGCGCGCTGTATCATAAAGTCTGTCATTGAGTCGACTGGCGTGGTTTCGAATCCCCGGTTGTACGTGACAAGGAGTAGGGTCGCCTGTCCAACCTCGTGGGTTTTCTCCGGGTCCTCCGGTTTCCTCCCACTGCTAAAGACCCCTATGCGCAAGCGAATTATTGAAATACAAGCCAACAGTGAGGCTGATGTCCCCCGCCAAAATAGGAAAATAATTAGAGGACACATATAAATTTATCACAAATTGTCTTTTACAAAGTATTGAACAATCAAACAGTATATCTTTACTTATAGTCTAAGCATACAATGTTTTTGATGGAATAATTATAGCATATTAAGGGGAAAACATGCTCTATGCCTACAGATCTAGAGTTTGGTTGTATCAACGGGTCTATTTTCCATCTTGCTGCAACTTGTGCAAAGTTCACTGTTTTCTTTCTGTCATTAAATGTCAATTCATTATTGCATACTACATATTTAATTAATTTATAATAGTTTCTTTTTCAATTTGTTTTTTCCATTTATTTGTTTATTTACCTTGCCTATATTCGTTGTATTGATTTGTATTGGAATTGCTCAATTGATGCTTTTATCAATACCTGGTTATAATATTATGACATGTAATGTGGCAAGTTGAGTCGGGACATGTAGGCTATAATGTAACCTAAATGTATACATAAGTGGATTTCGTTTCATTTTTTTCGAAAATATTGTACAGATAAAAGAGGAGGAATTACAGGGGTAATACATTGGAAAGCTTCTTCAAGAACTAAAGCATAAACTATATAAACGAGCTTCCAATCAAATTGTTTATCTCTGCTTACCCTAAGCGGAACGGACAGACAAACAGACAGACGGACGAACCCATTTTAATAGTTCCCTGCTTTTTTCGAAAGGCGGGGGACAATAAGCATGAACATTTACTCAATTCGAAGATCAACCAATCAAATTGTTTATCTCTGCTTACCATAAGCGGAACGGACAGACAGACAAACAGACAGACGGACGAACCCATTTTAATAGCTCCCTGCTTTCTTCGAAAGGCGGGGGACAATCAAAGTAGGAGAGTTATTGTTTTCCAAAGTCTCGACCAATCAAATTGCGTATCGCTCTGCTTACCCTGAGCAGAAAATGCTCATTATCAAACTTAGTCAAGGTATTACTGTAATGAAACTATACACCAAGTTTCATCAATCTCACTTAATTAGAACTAAAGTTATCGTGTCCCAAAGCATCAACCAATCAAATTGCTTATCTCTGCTTACCCTAAGCGGAAAATGCTCATCTTCGAACTCCATCAAGGCATTGACCTAATCAACACATACACCAAGTTTGAACATTCTAGCTCAATTAGGAAGAGGGTTATCGTACACCAAAGTATCAACCAATCAAATTGCTTATCTCTGCTTACCCTAAGCGGAAAATGCTCATCTTCGAACTCCATCAAGGCATTGACCTAATAAACACATACACCAAGTTTGAACATTCTAGCTCAATTAAAAGTTATCGTGTCCCAAAGCATCAACCAATCAAATTGCTTATCTCTGCTTACCCTAAGCGGAAAATGCTCATCTTCGAACTCCATCAAGGCATTGACCTAATCAACACATACACCAAGTTTGAACATTCTAGCCCAATTAGGAAGAGAGTTATCGTGTCCCAAAGCATCAACCAATCAAATTGCTTATCTCTGCTTACCCTAAGCGGAAAATGCTCATCTTCGAACATTCTAGCTCAATTAGGAAGAGAGTTATTGTGTCCCAAAAAGTGTGACGGACAGACAGACGGACAGACGGACGGACAGACGGACAGACAGACGGACAGACAGACAGACGGACGAACCCATTTTAATAGTCCCCTGCTTTCTTCGAAAGGCGGGGGACAAAAATTAAACCATATGTTAGTCCCGAAATGACCTAGTTTGTGTCGAGCGGACGTTAAACCCCATTTGTCTCTCTCTTATTAACCTTGATCAAAACCTTTGTTTGGTTTGTTTTTATTTCAGAACCAGAACCAGAATCAAAATCAAATACCTGGGTATTTAATGGTAGTATTATTGGCGCGGCTGTTTTGGTAGCTGTCATATTTTTGGTTATCGTCTCGTTAAAATATAAATGCTGGAAGCATAACCCAACTGTAATTGAGGTCAACACTGATGAATATAGCCCCAAATGTCAAAATGGATACACAAATAGATAAATTGCAGTCGCTAAATGCAGAAGTTTATCATTTCATTGAGTAATCCGTTATAAAACAAAATTTATTGGAAAATAATAATATTATCATGGACCATCTTTTAATTCAACATGCTCAGAGATGATAAAATCATTCATTAAGCATAATGTGATATTATTCTTCAATTTAAATCGGTTTATAATTTAGTAGGCCTACTGGTTGGGCTAGTCGTCAAGCTTCAACTGTGTAAATTCGATTCTATTATTTTTTGCATTTTCATTGTGATTTCCTATTGGCTTGAACTGGGCGATGTGTGTGAAATAAAAACAAGTAACGCTGCTTAGCTGTTTGGTGGTGCAATGTGTAACCTATCGGTGTATGTTTTGTAGATGGCAGGAACACTTTGTATCTATTATTAGTATTAATTCCTTTGCTAGTTCTGTAGCTCCAATTGGGTTGGATCGTTTATTGGTTGTTTCCGCTATACTTTTATCAGGTTCTGCAATTGTTAACCACCCACTGCCTGCTAACAAAGTTGACAAATGGTCTTCACCAGCTGGGGGGGGGGGGGGGGGGAGGGGGGCGATTTCAGAGATCCAGTGAAAGATTATTTCTATTGTAAATGCTGAATTAAGTATTTATTTGAGAAATTATTTTGAAGATTCGTGTGTTGTTCGACTGGACCCAGATTGGTTCTTACACTGTAGTCAAATAGGCCCTTTCGTCCGATTGGTCAACAGTCGTCGGGGGGGTGTCTGCCTCATGTTTTCTCCCCCGATTCGGCTTTGTCTTTCAGTTTTAGTTTTGAAGATCGCTAAATAATTTCGGTTCGCAGGTTGCCGCCTCTGGCTCTTTCGCTATACTTCGCTACTGAATTACGTTCACATTGAAAAAACATATAATATGACATCATCAACAGTGTCCATGTCGCAACCGGTAGTTCTGCAGTTAGCATGGTGCCGCAGAGTGGCGGCCCGGAATTTGTTAAATTTAACTTTTCAGTAACCTCTAAATGCAAGACAAAGAAATACATGTGTTGCAAGAACAATCTCAAGTGCAAGTGCAACAATCAGTGCCATTCCACCTTAAACTGCTCCATTAAGTAACTTTGTACCCTTTACATTACCTGGATATGGAATAAACATATGTTTTGCCTTATGAATTCGGCTCATGTCAGTTCTTTTTAATACTTAGGCATTTGGCCAAACGCTTGGTCAACATTTTTAGTCTTTTGGTAAAATAACTAGAAAACTCAGGCATCTGACCAAATGCCTGACCACATTGGGCATCTGACCAAATGCCTGACCACATTGGGCATCTGACTAAATGTCTGACCACATTGGGCATCTGACTAAATGCCTGACCACATTGGACATCTGACCAAATGACTAGGCGTTTTGCGTTTGGCCAAATGGCTGATTTGACAGATTGACTTTAACATATACATGTACATCAATTTAAATCGAAAAGTGTTTTAGAACGTCTGACATATAAACAGAAATAGAATAATTTTAATCAGATTTGGTGTGGAATTGTTGTAAAGTGCATATTATAGTAACCACTAGCTTAAAGTAAATATAACTTTGTCTGTTAAATTACTCATGGTCAATTAATGTTTAAGCAGTTATCATTTCTACTGATTGATAAAACATTTTGTTTTTTGTTTTAAAGGGCCAATCCCGATAATTTTTTGGAGAATAAAACTGCTTAATTTTGTGTTAAAATGCCTTAAAACCCTCTACCTACGGGCCGAGCAAGTAACTCAATATTTGTGATACGTTTGCAAACAACTTCAATCCGTCAGTCTTCATCTGGAACTGGAGTCCGGTGTCTCAAACTGTATAGACCTCTCAAGAAACGGGAATCGATTATCAGGTCACCCAACGAAAAATTGACCCGAAATTTTAAAAGGGTTACATGCCCGGTTAAGCAGTTTTGACGTTCACGTCCAAACGACTCAATATTTTGAGCTGAAATTTGAGACAAGGTCAATACACTATTCCTATATATTTTGGTGCGTAAATTTCATACGTACTCGGACTTTAATTTTTGAGACTCTGTAATAATCGGGATAATCCCTTTAAATAATACACTTTATTTACATAATTATCTAATATACAACATGATTGCCATACATAATTATTTACGATATATAATGTAGCTATACAACGAAATAATTTTTTAATAGTACTAAAGGTTTGCATCCCAGTAAAGATAGGTTGCCAGGCAACGAAACATACGCCCACAGCAGCTAAATCGTCCGGGCAGTCAACAAGTGTTGTCGCATATTTTTACTTCTTTCGGTAATGAAACATTTATAATACACTAAAATCTGATTAAGAGTAACAACTCATGAAGTAATTATCAGAAAACCATTAGAATTTGTTTGGTTTTTATAAAGTTCTGCCCAATGCTAACGTTTAGTATACAAAACTTTTAATATCATGGATTTAGCTGTTCAAGTCATAAAAATTCATTGAAAATCAATATACTTGTTCGTCTCAAGCTCTTAAAGTCTGTCTATCGATCTGAAGTCAACTCTGGCAGTAATTATCGGAAATCGCTGAAAACCAATAGGCTTCTTCGTCTCATGACCTTAAACACTGTGTATAAATTTAAAGTCAATCGGATATTAACTTTGGCCTTTAGAGCGTCCACAAGATTTTTTGAAGTGATCAAGGGCCATAACTCTGGCAGTAATTATCGAAAATCGCTGAAAATGAATAGACGTCTTTGTCTCATGACCTTAAACACTGTGTATAAATTTAAAGTCAATCGGATATTAACTTTAGCCTCTAGAGCGTCCACAAGATTTTCAAAGTGATCAAGGGCCATAACTCTGGCAGTAATTATCTGAAATCACTGAAAATCAATAGGCTTCATCGTCTCATGACCTTAAACACTGTGTATAAATTTAAGGTCAATCGGATATTAACTTTGACCTGTAGAGCGTCCGCAAGATTTTTTAAAGTGATCAAGGGCCATAACTCTGGCAGTAATTATCGGAAATGGCTGAAAATCAATAGGCTTCTTCGTCTCATGACCTTAAACACTGTGTATAAATTTCAAATCAATCGGATATTAACTTTGGCCTATAGAGCATCCACAAGATTTTTTGAAGTGATCAAGGGCCATAACTCTGGCAGTAATTATCGGAAATCGCTGAAAATCAATAGGCTTTTCCGTCTCATGACCTTAAACACTGTGTATAAATTTAAAGTCAATCGGATATTAACTTTGGCCTTTAGAGCGTCCACAAGATTTTTTGAAGTGATCAAGGGCCATAACTCTGGCAGTAATTATCGGAAAATCGCTGGAAATCAATAGGCTTCTTCGTCTCATGACCTTAAACACTGTGTATAAATTTAAAGTCAATCGGATATTAACTTTAGCCTCTAGAGCGTCCACAAGATTTTTGGAAGTGATCAAGGGCCATAACTCTGGCAGCAATTATCGGAAATCGCTGAAAATCAATAGGCTTCTTCGTTTCATGGCCTTAAACACTGTGTATAAATTTAATGTCAATCGGATATTAACTTTAGCCTCTAGAGCGTCCACAAGCAATAGTGGACGCCGGACCGACGGACGGACGGGGGCGACGACAATATACGACCACATTTCAATGTGGGCGTATAAAAATTAAGTGTAAACTATTTATGCTATGATATATAATTTTGCCAGATATATAAAGCTATATAGGGTGATATTAAGCCAGTTAATAAAGATGATATTAAATTAACACTATGATTATCTAATAATGACCAACCAGTGATATGTTCTACATCTTTACCCTGGTGCTCTACTACTCTCTTTAGATTTTTATTAAAACCTGTAAATATATAAATACAACAATGACTGAATCATATAGAAGCTTGACTATATTATCATTAGAGAGAAGGCGCTTGGGACTCTTAAGAACTTTTTACTTTTGTTGCTACTCCATACATCTAATTAAACCTTTTTTGTGTTTCAATTTAAAGCAGCTAACCCTCTTTCATTTAAGTAAATATAAAGTAATAAATTGGATTAATTTGATTTGCTATTTCATTTTGGTGATCTTTGGTGTTCACATTTAAAGCAGCTAACCCTCTTTCATTTAAGTAAAAATAAAGTAATGAATTGGATTAATTTGATATGATATTCCATTTCATGATGATGCAAGTTCTGTATGATTTAATTTTTGTGCACGTCATTTTTGACTGACATTCTTAATATTGAGATAGAGTAACGCCATTGTCATTCAGTTGCACAAGATCCTTGATCAAATATTTTTGTCAAGAGTAATTCAATTTAGTCACACAAACCTGACCCCTCTCCCCCACCCCGCCCCCAAGTGCTACACTCACCCTACAATCTACCACCGAGATAATGAATAATTAATACTAACCTGAATATTGAAATGTTGATCCTAAAATTGAGTCAATGATTGATCCTAATCCTCCACCTATTACACCTATGATAATGATCGGCCATTGTGCAGGACTGTCCAATAACATTAAATCAGTGCAGCGTAAAACTAACATAATATAATAGGCCACACCCACTAGTAATCCACCAATCAGACTACTTATTGTACCAACTATACTTACACCTCCATTAGTTCCTGAAATCAAAATTTAAGATAGCATAATTAAATGAAACAAGCCAACAGTGAGGCTGATGTCCTCCTCTTCAATCCCAAGATAAATAGATGACACTCATTTAATTACATGCACACCAATCTTTATCAGAAACAATCGCGCAGTGAAACTGCTGATTACTCTGGTTAAAGGGGCATTATGTAAGATTAGATAAAGTCAAAAAGCTCACAGTTCTCACTATAATTCAGCGACGGTCAAATCTATCGATGCAAGTATTGATGTTCACTCTTAATGCACCCAAGCGTAATGAATTTATGTCAGCACAAAAAGCACTGAGATTTTATTAAGTGGTCGCGTAATCGCTAAAATAGTTGGGGTGGGAAATACTCAAATTCACAGCATTTTGAAACGCTTTTAGACGCTATGATTCAGTATGATGAAAGTAAAAGAAATATTGGGGGTCCAGAGGTCCAGTATTACTAATGTATACACGACTACTTTGAATTCACAACTAGATAAAAAGTACATGTATTGTTATTGTTATACTACATGAATAAAAAAATATATGCAATCTTTATCTTTATTTTTTGTGGTAGGGGCAGGGGCAATATTGGATACCTCTAGTCAAAGAGCACCTCCATTAAGCAAGCATTTTTAAATTTCCCTTGGGTGCTTGCTTAATACAAGTTCTACTGTAGTTTAAATGTAGATAATGAAAACAAAATATGCTGAAAGTTTAATTAAAATTGCTTCACTCTGAACCAAGATATTAGCGATTCAATTTTAGGCTAGCCTCGATCCTCATTACTAACTTTGGTGCGATAATAAACCAAGTCTCAATTATCCAGTTTTAAGTTAAATTATCCATCACAAAATGTTTTCAAATCCACTATATATCGCAAGCTAATGATGGCTGGATAAGTTAATTAATGTCTAATTGATAATTTAGATAACATAATTTTAGGTCTAAAGAAGGACCTGCAATAGGCAGATTTAGCTCTTGCATTTATAATGTATTTTAACCAAAGCAGAAAATATTGTATATTGATACAATGAGATTCCCATCATCACTCTAAGTCAATTAGATTCAGAGTTATTGCGTTCCAAAGTATCGAAAAACAAACTGCTTATAGTTAAGCAGAAAATGCTCATCATCAAACTCAGTCCATATATTTATCTAACCAAAATCTATACCAAGTTATTGTGTCTCAAAATCCCAACAGTGTGGCAGACAGACAGTCCCCTGCTTAAAATGTGACAGGTGGGGGAAAATAAAACAAACTTTATGGAATATAAATACTGGATTGAAAGGGACACAAATTAATAATACTGGTACGTTAATTGGCTATAATCTGTTTTATTCAATTTACCGAAAACACAATTATAAAAAAAAATATTTTCATTTACGGGTGTGTATAGAGCTGATCCCAATACTAACCAAAATAACATTGGATCAATTCAATACTATTTAGATCTAAATAAAAGGGGCTTAGCTCCTTTTTTTGAAAAAAAAGATACAATAAATAAAATTCTGCTGCTGGAAATTAATCTAACTAATAAGGAATGAATTTTATATATGGTAATAACAAGCTAAAAAATGGATTTTTCTTAAATCAGGGGCCAAAATTCTGGAAGTTACGGTCCGATATGCACGAATATCGACAGGAACCAAGATCTTTGGGTTATAAACGTACATTTCAAATGTCAACAAAATCAGATAAAAATTGTGACCTCTATAGGGTCCACAAGCTAAAAACGTGATTTTTCGTACAATCAGGGGGCATAATCCATGAAGTTACACTCCTATATACATGCCAATATCGACATGAACTGAAATCGTAGGGAGATAAACCTATATTTCAAGTTTAGTTGAAATCGGATAAAAATTGTGACCTGTAGAGTGTCCACAAACAATTGTGGACGGATGGAGAGGGGCGTTGACAATAGACGTCAATAATAAAAATGTGGGCGAATAAAAAAGAAAGATGCTTTAGTCTATAATACAAAAATAAGTGGAAAAAAAGATACTGTAAATAGAATTCTGTATATATTTGCCCCATATTATTGTATTACTGTATTAGATTGATAACTTTGAGAGAATACTCTTTGAAACATCGCCCAATAAATAAGTACATGTAGCTGTTTTCCATAAGTATGTGTTATAGTTTATTGTTCTATCCAGCTACTAAATGACTCTAAAAGATTAGAATTCTGTGGTCACAACTCTAACTAATGGAAAAGCCTTTTTAATATGGTTATAAAAAAGAATGCTGCTTTAGTTTGTAACGTAAAGATTAGTGGAAGAAATGGTGAGACAAAAATAGGCCTGGAAGATTAAAGGGAGATAATCTTACTTCATACAGCAATTGCACTTCGCTTCAGTGAGGGCCCACGTCATTGTAAATTATTCAGGCATTTTACAAACAAGTTTATCAGTCCTAAGGGACTTAATCACCCATTAGTTTAGACCAGTGGTTCTCAACCCTTTTTTGCTAACGGCACACATCGGAACACATGAAAAAATAGCGGCACACATGGCTAAATATATATGAAAAAGGGGGTCCTTGGTTCGATCCCATTGTTGGCCAATCAAGTTACTCAGTCTTTTGAATTGGACAAAAAAAGAAAAAAAGGTTGAAAGACAACATTTAATCTTTTTTGAGAACTGTTTGTTTTTAAGTTTACATAACCTAAATGTATGCCTCTTTAAGGTACATGTAAAAGAAAAGCATTTGTGAAAACACCCTTTTCCTACATGTTTTGGGTTACACCTACCTCTGGGAACTTTTCTAAACGACATTATCAGCCATGGATCACCAGTGCCTATTACAGAACCAATCTCTGAAGCAAATGTATCACCACAACTACAAGCAAGGGAGGAAAGCACTGCTATAGCTAGCCAGGAAGAACTATAATTTGTGCTGAAATTTATAGTTATCTCCTTACAGCCAGTTTCTAATATATATAAGACGGCTAATTGTGTAGCTACCCCACCATTACAAATTACTTGAATCCAATTTCTCTGGCCACCTGTTTAAAAAGTTAAAAATATTTATCTGGTTGCAAAAACATAACATCATATTAAAGTAATGGCACTATGTTAAAGATGAAACAAAATGAAACATAACCTCAAAAATTATCAAAATACTCTTATGGTCCCCCCATTTTCATGAATGAACAATTCAACCATGTTTTACAACTTTGTTCCATGTTTTACAACTTTGTTCTATATTTAAATGTCAGATTGTGAATGGGAAGATAACTGTACAAAATCCTTTTGATATTTACAATTCAATTTTTTTTTGTATTTCAATAGGGACTGCATCTTTAAAGATGTATCATCCATCAATCTATTAACCTGCACAAAAAATAAACATACACACCCTCTTTAAAGTCTGCCTCCTGGATTCTTTTCTTGTTGGATCGGAATCTTGTAACTTTTGATCCGGCAACAAAGAAGACTATCAGTGATGAAAAGAAACATAGATTAGCCAACGTCAGGACGAAGCCTACCACAAAACCTGTAATATAAATATATTTAATGACAAATTAGTCCCCTTTCGATTCATATGAAATCAATACTGAAGTTGGAATCAAATAATGAGCTGATCACTTTATCCCAATCTTCAGTAGAAGATCCATGCACCATAAACAAAACCAGCGAAATTGGTACAAATATGACAGTCAAACAAGATACAGACATTAAAAACGTAAAAGTCCAACAGAAGAGATATATTTTTTTCATATTAAGACCTAAATTTATTTAGATTCATGGCTACAGACAGCCAACCCTATACATGACCAGAACACTCCAAATGAAGAAACCCCACCCACGTCTACATGTATATATGTATATCAAAACTTTTATCATATATATATATTACTGAACAATGTTTTCTGCTAGGCCTCTCTAGTTTTTATCAAGTAATGATTCAAATTCTAGGTCTATAGATAATTTGGAAATAATATACACATAAGGCATAAAACAAGTGCATTATGGACCAGGAAGTGAGTATGACGACATCCCCGTCATCCTGGAATTGTGACAATTACTGCACATATTTTATCCATAGAACAACCCAGCCAACATTTCAATCATACTTGAATTGGCAGAGCCTTAAATAAGGCAAGTCTTTAACTCAATATCATCCACAGACTTTGACATTGCAAACACAACTTATTGGTCAATTTAAATTAACACTGATGTTGTTATCTTACCGTGAAAAGATATCCAATATTTAAGAAAAAATGAACATTTTACCATTGGTACACAAATCGCGTGTAATGAAGCAAGTCATTAGAAATTAGAGTAAAAACAGAAAAGATTGAATGCAAACCAGTTTATATACATTCATAATTCATTACTATATGTGTTTCAACCCATTTATGTCCATTTCTAGATGCCACAGTATGGCAATTTAGCTCCTTTAAGCTGTTTTTGAAGAGATTCGCTTATACAGTTTATATACATTCATAATTCATTACTATATGTGTTTCAACCCATTTATGTCCATTTCTAGATGCCACAGAATGGCAATTTAGCTCCTTTAAGCTGTTTTTGAAGAGATTCGCTCTCAAGGAGATAAGAAGAAGATGACTATTGCTTGGAGACCAGTTCCTATTCCAAAAGTATTCTGGTTCTTAGATACAACCACATGAACACTTTTTATTTTCAAAAAAGAAAAACATCTTCACTGATTACGGTGCATTCATGTTTCCAGTAAAGTCAGTAGGCTCAGTTAGCAAAGACACAATCCTGATACATGTTATTAAGAATCATAAATGTCACTTGACAATAGTAAATAGACTCATTATTATCAGGATATGGATTTCATAGATTTGTCTCCTTGATTTCATACGAACGTTTTGTGATAATTTGTACTGGACAAGGTCTGAGACAGCTGCCTTATACCGGTAGTACTCAGGCTTGTCAATTTGCAAAGATATTCCCTTTTGCCGTGGTACATATAGTCAAAAGACAGAAATTATACTCCATGGAGAAGGGAGAGGGGTGTCACTTAAAATGTAGGCCTCACCTGTGCTCCTGATCATTCAATAGTTATATGATGTCATGTAACATAATGTAAAAATAGGACCGTCAACTAAATGTAGTATACCTGCCAGAGCCCCTGATTTGTTCAGACTTTTTCGCTTCAGTCCCCATCCACACATTATAACTGGAAACAGTCCTGCAAATATTAATCTCCATGGTGCTGGTATTTCAAATTCTGTAAAATAAATGCATTATTAAATAAACTATTAATTAGTATTAATTTAATATTGATTAATAAAATAGAACTAGGTACAAGATTTAACAATAAACTATTGTATTCCTCTTTAGAACTGCAAAGTTCAATATATCGGTACTTTGTAGGCTCAGATTGAGAGACTAGAAAAATTCCTGCGTTCATAGACATAGACATCGAAAAATGGTAGGAGGGTTAAATGAGCGACTCATTTGTCAGATGTGGACATGCACTGTTTCGTCCCTGCTGCAATATTGTAGCGTCAATACAAACAGTACTTTTATTGATGCTGTGTGCAGGTAAAAATAGCCTCAAATGAATCATCTTCATCATAATTTGTATTGAAATAATTACTACTGTTATCACAAACATTGAGGTACAATTAATCAAAATTGTTACGAACAGTCTCTTTTTGTGGTAATTCATTTTACATTTTCAAAGTGACAATTTGTATGCACACAATTAAGTTACCCATGTAAAATATCGTGTAGCCACTGGATTTTTCAAAATCATAGAATTATGCAGTATGCTTTTACTTTTATTTGGATGTAGATTACAGTATAGTTATTTAAGTTATTAAGTTACGGTATTTGTAGTAGGCTACCTTAAAATTTTGGGGTCAGCTAGATTAATTGGAAATTAAGGGCTTTACAGGCCTAACTGTTGTAGCAATGGAAATGTGCAAAACTGTAGAAAATAAAACATCTGATCAGTTATGTTTCAAGGATTAATTCCGTCAGCATGAAGGAAACTGAAAATTTGAGGTCCATATGTAAATTATATCATAGAATTTAGGTGTCTTCTAGTCTTTGACACAAATTAACTAAATTTGTGGGAGTTTTTTAATGTTGCAGACCCCAAATTTGAAAATTCCAATATATGGTGAATTGTCGAAAGGATATTTCCTGAAAATTGATGCCAATAATTAAAGATAAAGATATCTTCAATAGTTGCTGAGAAATGGACTTCGGCAACTTTTTATTTCTTAATCGATTTTAAATTATTTTTTTTTTAGTTTATCTGAGCAAGACTAATAATTTATTCAGTTTTACTTTTACTTTAGTCAAATTTAAAATTTAAAAAAAGCTTCTGCATGTAATGTTTTTGTGATCAAATTATTCAAATGATTACAAAACCTGCTCAAAGAAATTCCTTACAACCGTCCACTACTGTAGTAGAACCATTTCTATATTCCGTCCATACATGGGAATCTGGGCATCATTTGGGGATGGTGGCCAAATATCCGCAAGCACACAAATATAAATCTACTTAAGATAATGAATTTGAAAAGGATTATCTTGACCTCAGGGTGTGACAATACCTTCGTTCCATATGTGATAGAGTTGTGTTGTTAATGCTATCAAAATTGTAATTGGAATCGCGATGGCCAAACAAACAGCGATGATCATCTTGGTGACCTATGACCCGTAAAACAAGGTCAATGTCACAAACTAATCCAAATACGGGCGCTGGATCTATTCTTGAACTTAAACGATTACAACTCCGGAATATGAAATGATATTGTGATCCTTTTAAATTAATGTTGTTGGTGGTTTATTTTTGCTTAATAATAGTGTTTAGTGTTGGAAAAACAGCCCTCAGTCCATAACGTGATTCTTGGATCAATGATAGAATAGATGATCTTGTTAACAATTCGGGAAATGGGGTTTAGCGTCCTACTGCGTTCTGCTCCGACTGGGCTAATGAGGGAAGGAAGAGAGGGGGATAATGGTGTTTAACGTCCACTCGACACATACTATGTCATTTCGGGACTAACATATATAGTTCAATTTTATTTCCATAATTCGCTTGCGCGTAGGGGTCTTTAGCAGTGGGGGGTTAAACCGGATAGGACCTGTAGAAAAGCCACGAGTTTGGACTGGCGACCCTACTCCTTGTCACGTAAAACCGGGGAATCGAAACCACGCCAGTTGGCTCAATGACAGACTTTATGATACAGCGCGCACGTGCTAACCATTAAGCCATCCAACACCAGAACCACCATCGCAGTTAGAATGGAGTAAATACATATTTATGTAGCCTACATCCTTTATTTCAAAAAAATGTTGTATAAAGTTGCAGTAAACTGTTCTGTTTGCCCAAGTTTCGTAAACAAATTAGGCAATGTGATTGCGCCCGTATATACAGTGATGTTCAATTTCTACTTGAGATAAGCATGAACCTTGTATTAAGGCCCAACGGACAAGCAACTCGGCGAGGATGGGAACTGAAGGTGAGAGAGAGAGAGAGAGAGAGAGAGAGAGGGGAGGAGAGAAATGGGGTTAAGCCATCCAACACCAGAACCACCATTCCCACCCCCACCCCCCACCCCCGCCTTGGGCTAATGAAGACGACAGTAAAACTAAAACTAAAAGTTTATAAATTAGTTATTACTATAAAATAAATGAAAATAATTTTTAATATACATAATATACATATTATGGGAGATTAGATAAAAAAAAAAAGCTGACAGTTCTCACTATAATAGTTAAAAACTAGATAATGTAAAGTGGCTAAGTGGGTAAGGCGCTGGCTCGCTAGCCTGGAGGTCGGGTGTTCGATCCCTGCATTGGCCGAGAAAGTTCATCCAGATTTTCCGGCGCGGTTCCCCCTTGTCAGTGATGCAGGACGGAGGGCCTGACAAGGACAGCTGTCTAGTCCTTCGGATGAGACGAAAAACCGAGGTCCCGTGTATACATTGGAATGCACGTAAAAGATCCGTTGGCAGTTGGAATTCGATATAAGAGTAGGCGATAGTGCCGCTGCCCGGGCAAAATTTCCCTCATAGCACACTGTATGGCGTATGCCCGTCTTCATTAGCCCAGGTTAGGAGCAGAACAGTAGGACGTTAAACCCCATTTCATTTCATTTCATTTCATTTCAGATAATGTAAAGGGAATTTGCTGAAAATTTCAGTCAATTGATCCACTCTGAACCGAGAATTTAGAGATTGAATTTTCGGCCTAGCCTCGATCATCATTACTAAAGTCGGTATGATGAAAACATAGTCTCGATTATCCACTTCATGATTGACTTATGAATGGAAGATGAGCAGCAAATCGGATCCTAATCCAGTAAATATCGCAGGCCAGCGATGACATCAAGAGTTTATTATGGTCTGAATAAGTTAATTAATGTCTAATTACTAACTTAGATAACATTTCAGACCTAAAGAAAGACCTGCAATGGGCAGATTTATCTCTTGCTCAATGTGTGTTTAAATAAGTAAAAAAAACCCATAAACATTGGCGATAACTTCCATTAAAGGATAAAAATATCTTTTTACGGGGAAATTTCAACATCAAGATCTAAAATTTCTTTATTTTTTAAAATTGAAACCTTTTCTAAAAACAAAACTGGGTCATCCAAAATGTCCACTATAAAAATATGTAGCTGAAAAGAAAAAAAAATAACGTAATATATCCACTAAACACATCGATCGCAGTTAGAATGGAGTAAATACATATTTATGTAGCCTACATCCTTTATTTAAAAAAAATGTTGTATAAAGTTGCAGTAAACTGTTCTGTTTGCCCAAGTTTCGTAAACAAATTGGGCAATGTGATTGCGCCCGTATATATAGTGATGTTAAATTTCTACTTAAGATAAGCATGAACCTTGTATTAAGGCCCAACGGACAAGCAACTCGGCGAGGATGGGAACTGAAGGTGAGAGAGAGAGAGAGAGAGAGAGGGGGGAGGAGAGAAATGAGGTTAACGTCCACTCGACGCAAACTAACACATGGTTCAATTTTATTTCAATAGTTCGCTTGTGCTTATATAGGGGTCTTTATCAGTGGGAGGAAACCTGAGGACCCGGAGAAAACCCACGAGGTTGGACAGGCCACCCTACTCCTTGTCACGGACAACCGGGGAATGGAAACCCCACCAGTTGACTCAATGACAGACCTTATGATACAGTGCGCACGTGCTAACCATTCGCCCCCCCCCCCCGGAACTGGAGGTCACAAATTAACTATATAGAAACTGAGCTATAACACAACAATATATGTATTACGTACTAAATACATGTACTGTGTTTTAGTTTTACTGATGTAATAATAATCATCAGTTGTATACGATTTTGACAGGAAATATAAAGAAAGCAAACAAATGGATTCAAACGGAACTTTTCGAGCACACTTAGACGCTCACCGATTACCTGCCGGGGCCGCCCGGATACCCTGACGGTGACGAGTGCCTCAAACGAAACGAGGACGGACCGGGGCCCGTCGATTTATCCACAATTTATTGTGAAAATGCACTCGGCTCAAGACGCAGTAAGCAACCCCCCCCCCCCCCACACACACACACACACCCCCCCAGCAAGACTCTATCGGGAGCGCCAAAAGCGTCAAATTGAAATTCCTTTTTTATTTCCTTATCGGCGCCCGGTCAATAAAATTTTGACACTTTCGGCGCGCCTTTGCTTATAATTAAAGCCAATGCAATTTAAGCGCATTCGAAGATCTTGATGAAATAGAATTGGTAATTGTGGAGGTTACCGGGCTCGCGGGAGAAGAAATTTCGCTAGCCTACTTTAATAGTACTTATGACACGTTTATTTCAATAAACCGCTATATACATGTACATAAGTCTGGAAATAATATGGGAGCAATTAAATGTCTATACATTTTTGCTTGAGCAGGAAGGAAATACAGGGAAAAAAATGTTGATTAATTTGATCGTCAACACGTGAACTGTCTATTGTTTATCTACTTTCAGTTTAGTTCTGAAAGTAGGACAAAAATATATGTCAATAAACCGGAAGCAGTGCTCGTTGCTATTTTTACCATTACTGGGTCAATTGAAGAGTTTACAAAATGGAGGCTTACTATTATTGAATTTTGGAATATTATTGTTTGTTTTTATACGATTTTTGTTGTGTTTTCGTACTTTTGTGTCAATTCCGCTATTGTTTTCACAATGGGGGAGACCGGTGATTTGTTGTCACAATATTTTGTGCGTTTAGCATCATTTCAAGGGCTGATAAACGAAAATCAAGCGAGTGACGGCGGCTGTCAACAACAAACACGCGTTGGAAATAATAACAAACCAAATGTGTCTGTTAGTGCCAGAACATCGTTTATAAAGTTAGCAAGAGCTGGATTTTATTATGCTGGGTCTGTTGAAGGAATTCAGTGTTTTGTTTGTAAATCGAAAGCAAGATATAGAAATTGGCATAACGAATCTCCAGTTGCAGTACACAGAATATTGAATCCATACTGTCCGTTTCTTCAATCGCCATCGGAATCATCTTCAAGAAGTTCTAGTGAAAATAACGTTTGCTGTAAATCTAACACCATACAATCACCAACAATTGATGGCCTTATATCAAATCATTGTTGTACAAATAGCCAACAGCCAGATAATCCTACACAGTTGCAGGACCCCTGTGACAGAAGGGAATTAAATGATGTTTCAAATCCCATCCGTCCAGATGAAACACCTCCAAATGGTGGCACTAATGCAAATACAACAGTTCAGTCAATGAATAGCATTCGCAGAAATTTATTCTCCGCAAGTCCTGACAGCAACCAAGCTGATGAAAATGTTGATAACAATCGACCAACAGATAATAACATCATTGGATCTAGGTCCCAATGGTCTGATCACGTTGAAGAATATACTGGACGAATTATACATCCAAGAATCAATGACAAAGTTTTCAGTGCTTACGAATCACTTCGTGTCCTCACATTTCCTAATCCCCAAATGGCTGGAGAATGGGCTGCAGGTGGATTTGTTTACATTGAAGATGACAAAGTTCAGTGTGTTTATTGTGCGGGGGTCGTAACGTCGTATAGCGAACAATTAAACATTATAGATGTTCATGAAAAAATCTCACCCAAAGGTCGATATTGTTGTCCAATGGTCAGTGGAATTGACGTTGGAAATGTATCAAGGAAATTAGAAGAGTTAGTCAGAAAGAAGTTGATTGATAAAGATAACCGACCAAAGAATATGAAAACCAGTTTCCCTGTTCTGCACCCACAGTACAGAAGAGTAGAAGAAAGATTAACGTCTTTTAAGCATTGGTCAAAACAGTACAAACCAACCAAAACACAGTTAGCAGATGCAGGATTTTTCTATACAGGTAGCCTACTGTTTATGAAAAAAGAACCAGAAGGGCTCAGTCAATCATGAGGTCCTGGGTTCAATCCCTGTGTTGACTAAGAAAGTTCCACAAGATTTTCCAGCATGGTTTGCTTTTGTCAGTGGTGCAAGATTGAGGGCCTAGCACAGAACAGTGTCTAGGCATTTGAATGGGTCAGAAAACAATGTCCTGTGTAATACGTTAATATGCATGTAAAAGACTGTGTAAATTTGATAAAGAGTAAGCAAAAACGCCGTTGCCCAGACAAAATTTTCCTTATAGTCATAGCACACTGCATGTACATGGAGTACATGCACATGCATACTACCCATCTTCATTAGCCCAGTTCATGAAATGTAGGACATTAAACCCCATTTCAATTTATTATTTACTAGTTTTAATAACAAACCCTTGACAAGCCTTGAAATAACTATTCTAGTTGTTCCTGATAACTATTGAGCTAGTAATGGATATGCTGAGCTTTTTGCTATTTATGTACATGTAATAATAGTATCAACAAAAATACAGAAAAGAGACAAATATTTGATAGACTTAATGACAAGCACTGGCAAAAAGGATTGTGTAAGACAAAGTCTGAATATTTGTCTGACATTGCAGGCTTGTGTATGTCTTATCTAACATTATGTGGCTATTATATTTTTATATATAGGCCAAGGTGTATACACTAAAACAAGGAACTGCAATGATCATACAATCCTGATTTTAACTTTTAATATTGTAATACTTTATTTTCAGGTGTTGTAACAAAAGTTATATGTTTTTGTTGTGGTTTATCTGTCAGAGATTGGGAGCCAGCAGCAGATCCATGGCAGCAACATGCTTTAATATCACCAACATGTAGATTTATAAAACTTATAAAAGGAGAAGAATTTATTCAACAAATGGCAGCAATACAGGTAATTATTAACATCAAACTTAAAGGGGAAACCAGGCTGAATAATCCAGAGGAACTTTCTAGACCAACAATTGGGTTGACCCATGAACCTTGTGGTTAGTTAACCAATGCCTTACTCCTTGAGTCAACGTGACTTTCTTGTAATTGTGACTGACTGGATAGTTTTAGTTTGCAAAAATAGAGTTGCTGCCCTTTAATCAAACCTAACATTTGACACAAATTTCAATTTTTAATGAAAATTTTCTATACATAATTAATGTGTTTATATTTTTCAGCAACTGGTTGAAGTTGATCCATCAGTAAAAGGTTTGTAATTATATTTTCTCTTTCTCTTGCCCATAAGCTATAAAATAAAAACTTGTGGACATACATGTACAGAATATCTTCCATTCCAAAAATTCCAAAAAAATCTTTAATGAGAGACAAGTTTATTAAATAAGGGAAGGAATGAGGTTTACTCATTAACGTCTCATTAACACACTAATATGAGACTAACATATCATTATTCTCATGTCATTGATTATGTGTGTAATAAAAGGGTGAATTTTGCTCAGATTCATGTAGTGGTGTTTCTTAAAATTCCAACTGCCAAGGGTTCTTTTATGTTCTCTCTAAGGTATACATACCTTCCAGTCAACTTTGCACACCTTCCTTATCAGCATCCTAGACAATAAGGCACCACCACTGTCAGGTTGGAATCAGGCTTGTAAAATCTTGAATGGTTCTTCTTATTATTGTTGCCTATTAAATTATGTCTCTGAGATTTTCAAATTTCTCTGAGATTTTTGAATTGTAATCGTGTGGTACAGTCAGTGAAATTTACTGATCACACAAGGAGTCAATAAGCTTCCACTCTCACATTAAGGTATTTATCTTAATTCACCTACAGGCTTCAAGTTCAGATCAATAATATTCCTCAATAATTACCTGCCTTCGTTTATACTACTTTATAGGATAGAAATGTAAAACAAAACGTCCATGATAGAATAAACATAATTTATTTTCTTTATAAAAGGGTGGCTTTAATCACTCGTCAAAAAGAAATGAAATGGAGTTTAACGTTCTACTGTTCTGCTCCGAACTGGGCTAATGAAGACGAACATACGCCATACAGTGTGCTATAAGAGAAATTTTGCTTGGACAGCAGCACTACGGCCTACTTTTATATCGAATTCCAACTGTCAAGGGATTCGTTAAATGACATAGCAATCCTACACTTACCATATTATCAGGTCTTGTATGTTATTCATGTATGGGAGATTGTTCAGGTTTCTTACCCAATTTAACCCTATTACATGCTTGCTATAAGCAATGTCTTACATGTGTATATGGTTTTAATGGGCCCTTATATGCAATGCCTTATATTTTACATGTATATTGTATGGATGGGCGCTTATACTGCAATAGAGTTTCCATGACTCAGTACCTGTATTTTAAGACTATGGTATATTGTTTGTTTTAAGTTTTACAGAACCGGTAACATCAATTTAATTTAAGACTATAGTATATTGTTTTGTTTTATGTTTTACAGAACCAGTAACATCAATAGGAGAATTGAATATACCTGATCCATACCCTCCAACACTTCATACAACTCTACTAGCAGCTTATAGTACATGTGGGTACAACATATCTCCTACACAATTACTTCATCTTATACAACAATTCTTTATACATACCTGTGAGTAATATACACTCACTTTATACAGTTGTACAGAATAAACAATCAATTATAACACATACCACTAGTGGAAAACAGCTACTAATATGTATAAATTTGGACTAAGTTATCAGACTCAAATAAATTAGTAGCTGTTTTCCATAAATATGTGTTATAGTTTATTGCTCAATCCAGTTACTAAATGGCTCTAAAAGATTAGAAAAAGTAAATATGTCTTCCTACGTACAAATTCTGTGATTTGATGATATAAGTTTCAAACTAATTTATCAAAAGGAATGCATATTTAAAGAAAAAGGTATATTTTCTAAATTGATTATCTAGAATCTAACGACCATTTTTAGCTACTAAACTACTGTAAAAATTGTTTTTAATTAACCAAACTCATGTGGTCATTCTGTCTAGTAAAATACAGTACAATCATGTAGTTTGAAGGACATGCTTTTGGTTTGCAATTCCCTTGTATGGACAAGTTTATAATTTATGCTATGGAGGAAATTTTGCACTGACAGTGATGTTTCCTCCTACTCTGCATCAAATTCTAACTGTTCAGGATTCTTTTACATACAATGTGGAAGTGTCAGAAGTAATCATTAACAGTGACAGTTTAGATGAGCATATGCGTATGCCCCCGTCAGACCGGGGTTGCGTCCTTACCTCGCTGCTGCGACCGTACCGCGACCAGAAAATGCACAAGGTCGCTGGCATACGTGAACACAACTTGAGAAAGTGTCCCAAAAAATAAAATTACAAACTTGAAAAAAGTCGCGACCTCACACCTTTGCAGATCGCAGAACCTTGCGTTTGTTTTGAACATGCTAAAAGAATACACACTGACTCGGCGATCATGAAGACCACAACACGATATCTGGCGTTTCCACCACGCTTATGGCGATCTTGATGCACTCTGGGACCATTATCCGTCACCGTAGCAGTGCAGTAAGGACGCCACCCTGGTCTGACGGGGGTATTACCGGACATGAAATAGGCCTGTAAACTTTATTAAAACTGAAACCATCTAAAATTGCCCCTATTTTTGTCTGAGCTATTATATATCCAGACACATGTCCCCAACCCTCATAAAATACGTTTATGGAAGGAAAGGGAGATTTTATACATGTATCAAAAATGGCCAATATTTGTGATATATAATGTTATTCTATATTATAGGTGGAAGATATCCAAGTGTTGAAATGTTAAAAGCTGCTGTTTTAGCTGATGGTGAATTAAAGAAACATGTTGACATTATAGATCTAAAAGATGAAGTTATAGAGACTAAAGACAAACAGTTAGACAACTTAGATCAGGTGATGACTATTAAAGACCAGCATTACAAGGCTACTGTAGCCTCTCTTAACCAGCATCATAATATCATCATTGATAGTAAGGAACAGGAACTGAAACAAGCCAGTCAAGAACTGAACCAAGCCAGTCAAGAACTGAACCATAAAGATCAACAACTGAACCAAGCCAGTCAACAACTGAACCAAGCCAGTCAAGAACTGAACCATAAAGATCAACAACTGGACCATAAAGATCAACAACTGAACCAAGCCAGTCAACAACTGAACCAAGCCAGTCAACAACTGAACCATTATCGCTGTACCAAACGTCAGTTAAGACAACAAATAAGAGAAAAAGATGGCCATATTGGGAACTTGTCGACAAGATTGCAGACAGCTGTTGACAGACATAGAGCAAGGGAAGATAACTTACAGCAAACTTTTCAGACAACTTTACAACAACAAATATATATACACCAGACAGAGTTACAGAGAAAACAGACAGAATTAGAAACACAGAAAATTCAATTACAGGCTGAAATACAGAAATATGAAAAAGAGTTATCTAACTTGGTTACAGAATTCACAAGAATCAAATCTACAGGTAATGATTGAACCGTATTGTGGGTTGTTGTTAAAGTTACCGTTACATGTAGTTATAATTTCTGTTGTTGAAATTTAAGATAATTAATGCTGCTTGTGTTTTAGATGTAACCTATAGTAACATACATTATTAGTATCAAGTTAAATCCACACTTTAGTTCCTGGCCTGGGAAGTTTTAGGTTTGTTTTAGTCAAGCACAAATGAACCAGTACGTAATATTTTAAATGTTGTGCCAGATATGTATTAAAGGTATCAATAAAAATACTGACAAAAAGACAAATCAGTGCCTTGTCAAATAACAGACACCAGAGGGATTGTATATGACTAAACCTTAATATATGCATGACAATCCAAAATCACTCTACACATAAGAGGAATTTTTCCCGGACAGTGTTTCCACCTAATTTCTTCCTGGACAGTGTTATTTCCACCTAATTTCTTTGAATTCTAACTGCCAAGGATTCTTTTATGTGTACAGAAATTATGTGTACACCGGATCTCAATTTTTTTATCCCATCCATAACAACGAAACATGTTCATTGCCAGGTCCTCATTCTGTACAATTGACAAATGGAAACCAGGGAGTTTCTGGGCCATGGCTGAGATCAACCTCTGAATCTCCTGGTTAGTGAACGGCCAGCACCTTTCCATTGAGCCATCATGGCACCCATATTATGTTGAAAGAAAATTAAATTGCTGGTTTTGTATTTCAGTTCACAACCGAGAAACTCAAGAAGAAAATCAACCTGATCCTGCAGCTGTCAATCAACTTAACTCGTCTGCTATAAACCCAGATAGATGTCTAATCTGTTTATCTGAAACTCGTGTTGTTTTGTTTCGACCATGTAAACATGTCTGTTGTTGTACAACTTGTGCTCCCCGTTTCATGGATTCACCGTGTCCTGTCTGTCGTACTCATGTGCAGGATTGGGAAATCGTTTTTCTTTCTTAATTAAATTATTTATGACTTCCATTAAACCATAGTTTTATTCAAATACATTTTTTTTGTTAATGCATATGATATTATTACAATACTTGAGTTATTAGCTTTTGTATTTCGAAAATATGGCAGGTTATCGTTTTATTAGAAGCAGATGAATATTATGTCCTACTGTTAGATATTACCATAAACATGTATATATTTTATAAAATAAATTAAATAAATTGGTAATTTGTAGACATGTATTAACATTCAAACAATATTTTGTAAATATTAGTCAATTAGTGTTATTTGGTATGTAGTTTTTAAAGGCAGCAATATACTCATCCTTTTGTTTTCAAAAATGAAAATATTCATTAAAATACTGTATATACATAACAAATTTATTCTTCATGTCATCTTTTATCAGTGTTGTTAAATATAAGGGTATATATTATCACGTCAACTGCCTCATTTATTCATGGCATTTTAAATATAGGGATATATATTGTTTCGTGCAGTTCCTCATTTATTTATATCCCCCCCCCCCCTTTGTAGAAAGGTACATATATTATTAGCATTATATATGTTTGAATTTGCATTTATTTATGTTTTTTTTATATTTTCTAGTTTTTAAACCATGTATATAAAATTCCTAGTGCTAATGATAAATGAATTTCAATATGAATTGTATTTTATGAAGCAGGCCTACAATATTGTATTTATTATGTAAATAAGTATCATATTACTGTTTTCTTCTAATGCTATCGGTGTATTATATCAACATAGTTAAAGAGACATTCTGGAAGATTAGATAAAGAGCTGACAGTTCTCGCTATAATAGTTAAAAAATAGATAACGTAAAGAGAATATGCTTAAAATTTCAGTCAAATTACTTTACTCTGAGCCAAGAAAACCGAATTTCAAAAACACTGTAGCCTCGATTGTCATTGTTACCGTTGTTACGATAATAACCAAAGTCTCGATTATCCATTTTTACGGTTAATCATGAATAGCCATTGAATTGCAGGTTGGGATTCAAATCTCATTAAAATCGTACCCATCAGATGGCATCGAGAGTTAATTATGGTCCTGCATGTTAATAAATGTCTAATTAATAGTTTATATAAAAATGTAAGGCCTAAAGAAAAGACCTTTAGTAGGCAGATTTAGCTCTTGCATAATGTATGTTTAATAATAGGCTGAGAATGAGATACAATGCAAACACACCACTTTAATAAATAGATTATTGTCACAACAACTGACACATGAACTCCAAGAACATTACAATTCATAAATGTTAAATTGCATAAATATTAGATTTCATTTCATAAATATTACATTTCAATTGATAAATAATACATTTCATTTCATAAATATTACATTTCATCTCATAAATATTACATTGCATAAATAGTGCATTTCACTTCATAAATATTACATTTCATTTCATAAATAATACATTTCATTTCATAAATATTGCATTTCATTTCATAAATATTGCATTTCATAAATATTACATTACATTTCATATATATTACATTACATTTCATAAATAATACATTACATTTCATAAATATTACATTACATTTCATAAATATTACATTACATTTCATCATAGGCGTAGGAGCTCAAAGTAATTCAGGGGGGCATAAGAGAAAATTGCCCGAAATCAATATAGTATATATATCGAAATCAATATGATCAATATATAGTATATTATATTGATGTGATGCCCGTTTTTCGGGCAATACCTATTTTCGGGCAATACCGTTTTTTCGGGCATACCTATCATAAGAGAGCTTCGGGCATATTTTCGGGCATGCAGTGGACAAGAAAAAGACGAGAAAATACTTTTCGGGCAGTGTGGATCTCATAGAAATAAGTTAGTTATATTTTTTCTCTAAACGTTAATAGAAAAAAAAGGTCGTCAAATTTTTCATTGCCCGAAAATATATTTTTTGGCAAATGTGCCCCCCCCCCCCCCCCGGCTCCTACACCTATGCATTTCATAAATTACTACATTTCATTACTACTGCCAGACACCAGACACTAATTTACATTTATCAATAAATTACCTTTTGTAAATGAGACTGGAATATATGCACCCGTTTTTGTTCATTTAAATTGTACATAAATTATTTTGTATACATATATTTACTTTATAATATGGATTTTATTATTACTCATAACATCACATTATCTAACCTAGATCTATCTATTTTCTTGTAGCATTTATTATGTCTATTTTCACTCATAAAATTACTTCCTCGCTATCTATTTTCTTTTAGCATTTATTGTGTATTATCACTCATAAAATCACTTACTCTAATATAGATATATTTTCTTTTAGCATGTATTATCTATTTCCCTCATAGAATGACCAAATCGAATCTAGATCTACCTAGTTTATTTTAGCATTTATTGTAGGATACATTCTCTCTCCTCATAGAATTGATAACCCTAATCTACCTATTTACTTTTAGCATTTATTGGTTATTATCAATCCTAAAATTACATACAACAATCTAGGTCCATTTACTTTCTTTAGCATTTATTATGTATTATCAATCATAAAATCACATACGCAAATCTAGACCTATTTTCTTTTAGCATTTAGTGTGTATTTTTACTCATAAAATCACTGCCATCTAGATCTATTTTCTTTCTTTAAGCATTTAGTGTCTGTATTTTTATAAACGTTTTGTATAGATATTTTAATGGGGTCTTCTATTACTATGTGCCATTTAGTATCTTATACTTGTTTAATCTTTATTCTTAAATAAACCCTGTAAACAAAGCTGGTTAATTTATTCTGCTGTTCATTTTTATTATATATACATAGTAGGTGATACATTGTCTTGTCTGATTTTGTCAACATTTTAGACAAGTGTCATATTTTATAGAAAGAGTGTCTGGTCAACTGTGGCCATAGTCGCTATTTTATTACCCAGTCTGTCAGTTTAATAGATCAACATCAGAGAGGAAAAGAGGAATGGGGTGTAATATCCACTCAACACAAAACTAGGTCATTTCGGGAATAACATATGGTTCAGTTTTTATTTCAATAATTTGCTTGTGTGTAGGGGTCTTTAGCAGTGGGACGGAACCAGAGGACCCAGAGAAAACTCACGAGGTTAGACAGGTGACCCTACTCCTTGTCATGTACAAGTGTGGGCTTGAAACCAGGCGACTTGACTCAATGACAGACATATTAGAACAAAACAGATATAAAGGTATGATACTTCTGCATAAGATGTAGTGTAAGAATCTGTAATTGCATAGCTCTAAAATTAGACAAAAAACATTTTGTTACCCATTCACACTTGAGACAATAGTTCGCCAGACTCTGTATTTTACTATTCACCGTCTAATGTGATAATATTCTAATGCAATAGCCATAGTGTAGAGTAAAATACAATATGGTCTCGTACGTCATATACAATTGTCATGGTGTACAGTAAAATACAACGTGGTCTCGTACATCATTTATACAATAGTCATGGTGTAGAGTAAAATACAATATGATCTCGTGGGTCATAGTATACAATGACCATGGTGTAGGCCCAGGGGCGTAAATGTCGGTCGCAAAATAAATGCAGTCGGTCGCAAACTAAGTACAGTCGTTCTCAAAATAAGTGCTCACTGAATTAATGAGGTAAACAAACAATGCCAAAATAGAAGGAAAAATCCCAAATTTTATGTATTTGCGTGAATCTGAGCACCTAAATTACACACTTCACGCTATTCACCCAAAACTTTAGTCTAAAATAACCTTGTCAACTTATTCTGTTGTGAGTTAGTCTAAGAAAAAAATCCCCCTCTGGGAGAAAAATAGTCGGTCTCAAAATAAGTGCAGTCACTGCAGTCGGTCTCAAAATTATGCATCGGCGACTGACGAAATGAATTAATGAAGAAAACAAACAATGCCAGAATAGAAGGGAAAAATTTCAAATACTTAATATACGTGCACCTAAATTTCTTACGTCACATAGTCGGTCTCAAAATAAGTGCTCACTGCAGTCGGTCTCAGACTAAATGAATTAATGAGATAAACAATGCCAAAATAGAAGGGGAAAATTTTATGTGAATCCATGCACCTAAATTGAAACGGTATAGTATAAAATAACCTAGTCAACTTGTCATGTTTGAAAAAAAATATATTTCCCTGTCATGAGTATGTTGGTCTAAGAAATTGTGAGAGCTTCTAACATTTTGATAATATTAATTATATTATTAATTGTCATACGAATAACATATTAGTCGAACAGTTGGTAAGAAGTTATCGGAAGCATAGTTTGTTTCAGAAATACGTAAAAAAACCTTTAAATCATGAAATGTTAAGACGATCTTGTTGCATATTTAATCCCAGTAGAAATTAAAACGTATTTTACTCATGTTGTGAGTATTTTCTGACCATCAGAACCTTTCCCCAGACCCCAAAGTCCAGTAAATGGCATTTCAGAGATCAAGTAACGCCCTCATGAGACAAAGTCCCCTTAGGCCCAGTCCCCAAAAAATAAAAGCTCATATCAGTTACATAATCTAAATTTTGTTCGCGCCTACAGCGATCAATTCTATTATGTCATTATTCTTGAGGAGGGCCTGACAAGGACATCTGTCTAGTCATTCGGGTGGGACAAAAAACCGAGTTCCCATTTACAGATTGGCGTGCACGTAAAAGATCCCTTGACAGTTGGAATTCGATATAAGAGTAGGCCGTAGTGCCGCTGTCTCGGCAAAATTTCCCTCATAGCACACTGTATGGCGTATGCCCGTCTTCATTAGTCCAGTACGGAGCAGAACAGTAGGACGTTAAACTCCATTTCATTTCATTTCCCTGAACCGTATTATAATAACTTGTCTTATCACTTACTATTCATTCATATTGTTTAAATATTTTGTATTCATTATATATATTCTTACTGTGCCAGTTTTTAATAAACCTTTGAACCTTCATCAGCGTATATAATTTATTTAGAACTCTATATTATTTTTAGATCCCGCAGAGTATACTGTGAGAACGTGAAAGATCCCCGAACTAATAGTATACTGAGCTATACCGCATAACTACGAGGGGAAGTCAATAAGTTCATAGAAGTCGATATAAAACAGAAGCCAATGGTTGTGGTATTGATTTTATTTTTCAATATTTTCTCCCTGGACCTCGATGCACTTTGCCCATTTGTCTTTGAGACTGTCTTTGCCCTTGCAGTAGAAGTCTTCTGACTGGCCCCTCAGCCACGCCTCAGTAGCTGCCTTGAGTTCATCATCTTCGCCAAATCTTGTACCACGCAAGTGTGATTTTAAATTGCGAAACAGATAGAAGTCGCTTGGGGCCAGATCTAGACTGTGATGGTTAAGTTGTTCAAAGCTACGTTGTTGAAGTGCAGCCTGTGCAATACGAATCTTGTGCCCTGGAGCGTTGTCAAGAAGAAGCATAACTGACCGTAGGTCATCGTCCAAGGAGCTGCGACCCCATTTAAACTCAGCTGGCCATTTTGCAACAGTAGAATATTGAGAGGCTACCTTCCCATACACATTGGTCATACGTTTATGTATTTCGGTCGCATTCACCCCTTCTTTCGTGAGAAACATGATAACCACACGATGCTAAATTTGAGAACATTCCATGATTACAGGAGGGTGCCTGTGTTCCAACAGGCTGTAAATCTCAAGTAAATGATCGGGAAGGGTTGTTTATGTCTGTACACTGTCCTGGCCTATCTCAATAATGCCATCAACGATGATGTCTTCAGGGGTGTATCAATACTCACTTCTTTGAACTTATTGACTTCCCCTCGTACTACTAATCACTTAGCAAACGGATGCACGTTCTCAGTACCACTATTGAGTGGGGCGACAGACTGTAGAATTGTTATTTCTACTCTCACAAACAGGGGAAATTGACGGACGGGCCTCAAGATTATGTTCCATTTCTTATCCTCTCATTAAGGAGAATTTGGTCCCATTTGTCATGACATTCACTAAAAAATTTTCATGCCCAGTTCCCAAAAATTAAAAGGTCAGTTACATATCTGATTTTTTTCGGGCCTATGCGCCGCTAGATTCCATTATGACATCATTCTTCCACTGCTCTGTGGTCTTATACTGCCTCAGCGCTATCGTATTCACAGTTATAGTGAACTGCCCAGATAGTAGTACCGCTGTTGCCTCGATTGTGGGGCGTCAGACAGTACAAATGTTCTGACAAATCTTGCAAAACAGGTGGAATTGACAGGGGCAGATTTCGAGATTCTGTCCCATTGACCCCTATTTCTGGTTCTCTTGTTCACAAGAATTTGCTCCCAGCAATGACCTCAAATGCCACGATGTTGATTAATTTTTCAAAATTTTCTCAGGTTGCTCTTTGTTATAGCCACTGCCCCTAAGGTTCACATAAATTTAATAACAAAATCAATAACAATCATCATATTATATGACATAAACTTTATGTCAACTTGAATAAAACTGCTTTCCGAACGGCGAACAACTATATTGGCAATACGATCTATGTTCTACCTGGACGCCCAGTGTAAAAGCCAGTATTTTGTTGACATTCATTGTGGGGTGTGATTGTAGATGGCGCCCTAGATTTGGAACCAGATCCGCTACTGGCCCCTAGAAAACTATAATCTGTGGTGCTCGCCACTGACTGCGTCATTCGTATTAGGGACATGTGCATCGGTCGGTCGCATTTTTGCTAAACACCCCCAAACAAAATCATTATGTACGCCCCTGTGTAGAGCAAAATACAAAGTGGTCTCGTAGACCATACATGTATATATACAATAGTCATGGTGTAGAGTAAAATACAATATGGTCTCGTACATCATATACAATAGTCATGGTGCAGAGTAAAATACAACGTGGATAGTCATGGTGTAGAGTAAAATAGAAAATGGTCTTGTACATATACAATAGCCCCTGTGTAGAGTAGAGTAAAATACAATATGGTCACGTACAAAAAAAAATCAAAATATTATCAAGAGTGTCAGTATGTTTTGCCCCGCGCACAACATTCGCCATTACTATAACAGACAAATTAGGTAAATACCTTAGCGAAATAAACCCGTGATGACATTTCATATTATTTATCCAAACATGAGGTACTGATCTTAATGTTTTGTTAAATGAGACTATTAGCTCGGAAGTTAAATATCCCTACCTCGGTAAATTAATTGGTTGTAGGCCTAAGTAATAAACCACCTAGCCAAAAGGTTGCCATAAAATGTACTCACTCTGTATATGAATGAGAAATAAAGTATGTTAACATTGAAATTGACCTTTTTGTCGTACTTTCACACCACGTTTCTGTTTTGGGGGAATATTGAGAAGAAAAATGGGATGTTGTTTATTGTAATAACGGAAATCAAGATTATGTATTCTAAAGCATGGTCTTTATATTCGTGAGTGGAAATGAACTTTCTGCCAAGTTTTATTTTTTTTATTTTACGAGTTCTTGCAAGCAGTAAATGACCAAAGATGGTCCTCTTGGGAATTCCAAGTTTTTGCTGAAATCCTCTCCTCAACTTCACGTAGATATTTTCAATAAGAGATTCTTGCATTTACGCAATGGTATCTGCTGCATATTTATGTTATCGTCGCCACGGTAACGCAGGGGTACGGTGCGGGTCACTCACTATAACCATGGGGTCCGGGGTTATATCCCCATGTTGACCGTGCCAGTTTTATTTCAGCGTGTTTACCCCTTGACAGTGGTGCAGGACAGAGGGATCTCATAGATTCATGTCGTTCGGATAGGTCGATAAACCCCAGGTCCAGTGTATACGATAGCATGTACATGTATGTAAAAAAAATCCTTGGAATTGGAATTCGAGGAAGAGTAGCTGGAAACTGTAGCACGCTGTTGATGCCGAACAATTGGACGTTAAATCCTTATTTCTTTCAACAGTGTGTCTTTCGACAAAATATGTTTTGAGTAAATAATTGTGTGAGTTTTAGGAATGGTGTTAATAACATTATTATGGTTGGCCGTATTACTTCTTGCCCATCTCTCGTCACCTCGCATCTCACCCAATATACGCTCGTAGGTACATCCTGAAGCCCCTTAGCAAAAAAATAAAAAAAACATATAGAATACCAGTGGATTCTTCTAAATTGATTTGCTTATTTTTTTCTCTCTTTGGATTAAACAGATTTTAAACATATTTCTGTTGATGATTCACCAGTCGGAACTATGACAAGTTTTCGTCTTGATATATAACTGAAATATAGGGAAAACAATAGTTAAATGAACTTATATAAATAACAAAATTACATAAATCTTATCTAATTTAAATATTATCACCCGTAATAACATAATACTTTACTTATCTTTTTGTCTTTAATCAAGACCACGTTCTTCAGTTTCCTGTTAAAACTAACTTCTATGAAGTTATATACATTGAATTTTAGAATAAAAAATTCGACCAATGACCAAAAATATTTAAAGAGACTTAATTGCCATGGCTGTTAATTATTATATCGACAGACCTATACTTTGTTTTGGCAGGGTGGGGTGTTGAATTTCTTAAAGTGACAACATGTATCACCATTTCATTCATATCACATAAACATATTATGGTACATTAACCAAATTCTGAAAGATTATTTTAAGTTTTATTTTTTTTTTCGTGGTAGTATAGTTTGTCATAATTTGGCATCACAGTAAATTAAGTAAAACTAATATTGAATGCCAAGACAACAACGTGCAGGAAAATTCTGCTGGTTAAACTATACCATTTCTACGGAGTGAATTACTAAATTCTATAGTAAACTATAATATGAATGACAGATCTATAATATAAATGACAGATCTCCAAATTAGGAAATCTGTAGAATAGAATTTGATAAATCTGTTTAAACATACATTATGCAAGAGCTAAATATGCCAATTTCAGGTCTTTCTTTGGGCCTGAAATATTATCTAAATTATTAATTAGACATTAATTAACTTATCCAGACCATAATCAACCCTCGATGGCATCGCTAGCCTGCGATATTTACTGGATTAGAACCCTGTCTGCTGCTTCTGATTAAATCAAAAAGTGGAAAATCGAGACTATGTTTTTCATCGTACCGACTTCAGTAATGATGATCGAGACTAAGCCCCAAATTCAATCGCTAAATACTCGGTTCAGGGTGGATCAATTTGACTGAAATTTTCAGCAAATTGCCTTTACATTATCTAGTTTTTAACTATTATAGTGAGAACTACCAGCTCTTTATCTAATCTCCCATAATTTAGCTTTAAGTGTATACACGTACATTCTACTCATTTGTCATTTGTTTCTCCACAAAATCTGTAGAAAAAAATATTTATTTGGCAGTGGCAGTGGTCATTCATGATTCCTGTGGTGGTACTGAACGACTACAAAGCTGTTTTAGGTGGTACAGATTTCAGCTAATCTAGCCTAGCTGTGGACTGGAAATTAGATAACTCTTGTCAGGGATACTCTACCACTACAAATGTCTGACAATTACATAGCTCTGCCAGGGGTAACCGACCACTAGAAATGTCTGTTAGGGTGTTTTTGTAACACCGGAAGATGTACGGTGCACTGCTGTATGATTTTCATGTGGTACACTTTTGAGGTAATCTAGCCTAGTTGGGGGGCATGGTATTTTGGGCGTGGAATACCATGCCCACCACCAGAAACCCGGCAGACTTACATTCTGATGATACCAGATATACATGCATTGATACCATATAGGAGAAAATTGGTACACTTTTCAGCTAGGTTAAGCACCTGGGCCCCCGTTCTAAAAACTCAACCCTCTTACAATTCAAATTAGGACATTAAACACCAGTTCATTTCATTTCGCACCCCAGACCCCCAAAGGAGACTTCTACTGATAAATAGGTATAGGACTGTATCTGTAACGACAGCAAAACGGGTTTTAAAATTGGAAAAATGTCTAGGGACTTCGCCAAGACCCCAATTCGGCAATTGGTTTACTCGCTAAAATGTCTAGGGACTTCTCCAATACCCCAATTCGGCAATTGGTTTACTCGCTCTTAATCATTAGGTTTGACTCTTACTGTTGCAGCTATACTAAACCCCACTGGGGCGGCGTTACAAATCCCCCCCCCCTCCACCACCTGCTGAATCCGCCCCATCAGGCACCACGTCACTGTCAAGAAGGGTTGTTTTACGGGATTGTTTGTCAACATTGTTGAAAACTGAACGCAGGCGGACAGAGTTATCGATGGAATAGTGCACGGGATATTGTTCATTGTGATGCAGATTAAAGATTTAGGCTATCAGTGGTAATTTGTGCCGCATTTCTGGAGCCGAAAATAACATTCAATTTCATATTTACACGTAGAATAGAATACTAAGTGAATGTTTTATACTGTTATTTAGGGGATGGCGGAGGCAGGGCCCCTTTTTGGATCCACCACTGTATCAGTGTAGGGCCGTCATCGTTAGCCCAGAAAAGTAGGACGCTAAACCACACTTCATTTCGTCTCTTTGGCTATAGTTCACGTATATTGTTGTTTTATTATAAATTATACAACCACATTTCACTAAATAAATTATTAGGATCGTTTTTATTTTATATTGAGGTCTCGCAGTGCAAAATATTTCAAAGATTTTTAAGACAAGCATGAAAGCCATAAAAACGGCTTTCCTTCATTAAAAACAAATAACAAATTATTCAACTCGGGTAGGAAAGTATCTTTCTTGATTTCATTTTGATTTTTTGAGGAAAAAATATCAATGATTTTGTTTTCCTTTAAGCTTTTTGTTTATCCCGACAACTATCCGACTTTTCACTTTTAGTAACGTTTACTTTTTTTCCAACACATTGTTATTTTTTTCTCTATTCTATCTTGTTTCCTTTCAACCTATGTTTTATGTTGCTCTTATAAAGTACTCCAAAGGATTACGTCAAGTTGCGCGTTTCGACGACCCACCACACATAATCCGAAAAGGCGGGTCTTTATATGTGTTTATCTCCCCTGCATCAGTAATTATTTCGTGAATAATACCAAATGGTTTATTAAAGAGTAGAAATCAATCAAAAGGTGCTTGTTCAATATTATATAATTGATACCATATTGTTAACGTTTAATATAATTACATGAACGGACTTAATATTCCACAATCATGTCATCAGTGTTCGTGATGAACGTACAGATGCAAATCTGTATCTGGAAAATGGAGTCTACGCTCATTACATAAAACTGTTTTCCGTCTAAAGTTGATAAACACTTCACAACCTTTTTCTTGTAGGAAATAATTCAATAAAAATAGTAAAAATAGTTCACATAAAAATATGTAATGTTAAATTCGTGAGCGGAAACATTTTGTCTTTGTACTCGTAATAATTTTGCAAAGAGACCAATGGTTATCATGTTAATCGAGACTACATCACCCATAATTCCCTTTTATAATATGCAAATAAGAATATTCGTTTAGGACAACAATGGCGGAAGTGTCAACACCGTGTCGATGCCTCTTTAGGCTTTTCTTCCTGATAACTACGTTTCTGTTCATTTCAACGACCTGTTTAGGTAAGCTTTTTATATAAACAGTTTGGCCGGACAATTTGGTAAAAATTGTACACGACTAATTTCTCTGTATAATGTGAAAATGGCGATTGTTAATGGAGGTATTTTAATTAGAACTCTACCTGCTGACCTTACCTGACAGACTGAAAACTGACAAGTCATGTAGACTCAATCCTGTTTCGTAACTATCTTCCTTGTTCCACACATCTGAAATATTGATATTAATATTGGTTTTATTCAGTATAGATTCCCAATTAATCACTGTTTATGGTTTTTGTTATGAGAGTTGTTTTTACTTAAATTTTAATCCATCCAAGTTGTAAACAAGGAGGCTACCGTACTGTAATAAAAATGTCTTATAATTATATAATATTGATTATTATATAAATAGATATATCTTGTTCCATTTTTAAAATTAGATACAAAATTGAAAGAATTACTTAAAAATGTACCATAATAAATTGTTATGAATGATATTTTTACTGTACGTACTATAGCAAATCTAGACCAGTATGATTGACCAACCCTTAGAATTTAGAAATCTTATTCTAATAGAATTCTATGGATTTTGGTGCCTTGGCATGTCATGAAATTTCACTTTACTACTGCTGCCAAGACTTTGATTGCCAGTAAAATGCGGTTTAATAGGTCATTTTGGACAGGTAGAGGTGCTTATAAAAAAAGAAAAAACAATCTAGAAGTAATGTATTTTTATCAATTATTTAACGTTTCATTAAAAAAAACAAATTCAGAAAATACCTGGATTCAGTCCCATTAAAAAGAGGTCCATCAAAATGTTTTTTCGAAGATTACTATAGATCCTAATGTTGCCATCCAATTGCCTTTACAGTATATAAAAAAAGGCTGATTGGTTTTCAATGATTTCCAATAATTTTCTAAAATCTTATGCAGTGAATGTCCTAGAGGCAAAAGTAAGGCATCTACTAATTGACTTAAATTTTATTAGCAGTGTTTAAGTTCATGAGACAAGGGAGTCTATTTTATGTTATGGCTCTTGACTTCTGAGATTGCCTTTGATTTTCAAAGATTTCCGATAATGATTGACAGAGTTATGTTCCTTGAACAATCAGACAATTTTTTTTTTTCATGCCGCACCCACCAAACAAAATGATCTGTATTATAGTATTACATGTAAGGTCATTGCATGTCCAGCTTCTATACACCCTTGATGCCTAACAAACTCTTGTTTATTATCTGAGTACATGACATGTATGTGCCCCCCCCCCCCTTTAGATACGTGTAGTTGTCCTATATAGGCCCTATCCATGATGGATTTATAAAACCTAATTTGTGAAAATTTTAATTATTATGCAGGTAGTATGCCCAATATTGTTTTAACGTTTCATTTTGTCAAACCCTAAATCAAATCATTACCCAAATCAATGAGCTCAAGACATTTATTTGAAACCAATACTGCACAAAACAAACCTAAGGAAAAGAATGTAGAATACAGATATGCCTTTTTATATTATTCACTGTATAAAAAAAAGCTTAATCAAAGTTTATTTCACTACTTTTGATGATGGCAAATAACCCAGTAAATGAAAGAAATGTGTTAAGAAGCTTTGATGATGTCTTATAGAAGACAGGCATGGTCTACATATGTGAGAAAAAAAAGAATATTTGATTGAATGATTGATATTCTGATTTAATCAGACAGCACTATAATCTAATTTCTATTCCTATTGTAGCTGTCTTTAATGTGAAATAAGCTGACTGTGCCACTAGTGATTTGATTTTGATTTTATTTATCCAGGGATGTGGTGGGATTTATTATGGTCTTTAACCAAGATTTCTTATATTTCTTGAGGGCTAACACATAAGCTTGGTAAATTATAGTCATACTCATTGAATACAAATCATAAAACATGATGAATTTACATATCAGTATAACAACTATTAAATGTAAAGGCCTAGAAATAATGATTTTTGTTCTATTGACAATTTGAACTTTGTGCTAGACAAAATGACAGGCTTTAGAGAGATTGATCCTTGCGGAGTATGAATTTGTACATGACATTTGTCTGTGACATGTGTCTTATTTCCTGGTTTGGATATATTATGTGTACATACATGTATTTGATTATGAATTTTTATATGATGAAGCATACAGCATGATTGAATCATGGTTCTTAAAATAAAAAATTTGTAAGACATGTAAACTGATAAAAACAATTTAACACTTTAGAAATTTGAAACAAGAAATTCCGAACCATCCTCTACTTATAGCCCAAGACGTATGTGTACCAGTACCTACATGTACATAAAATGCTTGCCTTAAAGGGACAATAACACTCTTGCTGGCTTGACAGCTCCAGAAAATAAAAAATAGCCTTATTCTAAGTACTAGATGTGTTAGTGTCCTACCTGTTGTGTAAATTATCCGTTAAATCCTATTTTACTTGTTACTTGTCCAGAGGGTTCAAAAATATTTTTAAATCCATGTCACATTTGAAAAGCTTCACGTTCGGCTTTTCAAATCATGATTTAGTTGAATTTTTCCAATTTTTTAAATTAGGTGTGTTAAGATGAAATTTGTATCATCAATTAATTGGAATATTGTAAAATAGTACAATTTGTTGACCAGAATAAAGATTAGAACATATTATTCAGTTATTGAGCCTTTAAGCCATTTACATGTGAAGGTTGTTCTCATGTTGTACAAGTCTGGAAATGAAATAAGATACCAGTACCTGTCACTGACAAAAATTAGGTGCTTGTCATTTTGTCCAGCACTGATTTTTTTATCGATATTATTATTACATGTGCAGAACAAAGTTAAAAATTTTAGAGTACATGTACTAGTTGTAGGCCTGCTGACGCTGTCATATATAAAAAGATTTCTCTAATGGTAGGAGAGTTAATCCTTTTCTGTAAGATATTTACATATATAACCCACTGCTTAATCCTTTACCTACATGTGACAGTGAAATATCGTACCTTATTATTTCTACAATAATATTTACATGTACATGTATCTGGGCACAGAGGAATTGATGAAAAGAGTTATTCAAAAAAAAAAATAATAGGGCCAAAAATTGAATAAAAAGCTAAAGCTCATCTAAATACATGTATGATTTCAAGTGAATCAAGAAGAGGTCCTGACAGCAATTCCCCCTCTCCCCCTTTTTGGTTTCAAATTATTTTATATGTCCTACATTTTCTATAATTTGTATGTACATGTAGGTACTCAAATGTCTAGATAATTTTATTTGTGAACTTGTAACAATGATTTCTTTTTTTTCTCAAATTTTTAAAGTGTTGAATGCTTCTGAACAGCAAACATGTCTTACAAATATTCATTTCAAGCACCATCCGTTATTCATGCTTTGTTATGTACCGTAACCTAAAGGGCTTTATATTTTGACCTCAGACTAGTGTAAACACTAAGCACACTTCTTAAATTGAAATACCTTATAAAAACTGGGACATCTTTAAATTACATGGTCAATTGTGACTTACGTATATGGTCACAGTTAACTTAAAAATATTTTTGATATAATTGACAACTGGTTTCTTAATAAGCTTACTGGTATTGTTTAGACCACTAACTTATGTCACATTCTATTTCTAAATTTAAATTTGCTTTATACTGTGCTTGTCTAGTATTAGCTTTCAGCTCAGTAGTAAAGGCTTATGTAAAACATTTCTATTCACATGCCATATGGGTGGAGTTTTACTTTAGTTTTGCTCTCTATGGAAGCCTTACATTACATAAAAGCAAAAAAAAATCTATTATAAATACATATTAATTTTTTTCTAATGGCTTTTTGTATACACTTTTTAGTGTTCCAAACTTAGCAAGAAGAAGGACCTTAATTGAAATATGGAGGCCCCAAGATGGGATTTGGAATATTGGCATAGAATGTTAATTAATATAATAAATGAACAAAACTACATGTATGTCAAGAAGTGGGACTGAATATTTCGTGAATGGTGTCATAGTTTAACACCCAGTTACTTCTACTTCTGGGTTGGCATGTCATTGGAGAGTTAGTGTTAAATATACATGTACAAATGTAATTCACTTGAATCCCTTGATTTGAGTACCGTAGTTACCTGTATAAATTGCAAGGAAGTTCTAGTTTATTTCAAAATTGGCAGTAAAAATTAGTCTTCAAGCAGGAAGGGGGTGGGGGGACTACTAATTTCTTCCTCCATTTGGCCTTCATATACATGTACATGTAGGATGAATAGTGCAAGGTGACGAATAGTGCTAGAGGACAAATAGACTTACATGTAGGGGATGATTTGTTCGGGGACAAATTATCCTCAGGACCAATCATCCGGGGTCAGGACGAATCGTCAGGGAACAAGTTGTCCAGGGACGAATTGTCCCGTACCGGGGTTTCTCTGGGTACTAGGGTTGCCTCCTACTGCTAAAGACCCCTACATGTACATGCAAAATGCAAGCGAATTATTGAAATAAAATTGAACAATGTGTTTGTTAATCCTAAAACGGCCAAAGTGGATAGTAATTTTTCATTATTGCGATATCAATATAAAAATCCCCAATATATTGCCATTATTGCAATATTTTATTGCTTCAGCACAAAAGGCTCGAAAAGAGGTGGCAAACCCTTTAAATAAATTTCTATGAGAAGCATATAAATTTAAATCACATAAGTTCAGATAAAATATAAAATATTCTTTCAAAGAATATTATGAGGGAAAGAGATATAGAGTCAAGTGATATACATGTACAATGTATAGGATTATTGCAGTATCAAACAATTATTGTCAATAAAATTTACATATTCCGATATATTGATTTACAGAAGTTATTGTCCAGCTCTAGTTAAACAAAAAAGTGATGCGTTAATACAGCTCCCTCGAGTATGAATTTATGAAGCATGAATTTTTATGTATGACCAATCTGATTTATACTTTGTTTCAATAAAAAGCAATAATCCTTGAGAGAATATTGTTGAAGGAATGGCGATAATCTATAGTCAAACAATATATTAGATTGTTGCAGTATT